TGAAGATTTCTGTCTTCTGGGTTGTTGCGCTGTGTAGTCTGGTCGATGTTAACCAACGTTTCAGAGGTCATACTGCCTCCGTCATCAGGGCGATGAGTATGAAGATTTCTGTCTTCTGGGTTGCTGCGCTGTGTAGTCTGGTCGATGTTTACCAAATGAGGCAGTATGAACTCTGAAATGTTGGCAAATATCGACCAGACTACACGGCAACAACCCAGAAGACAGAAATCTTCAGTACAATATTTATGATTACATTTTACTTTTTGTTATGTTTATTACAAGTGTTTTAATTTTTCAGATAAAGCTGCATTTCAGCACTTGGAAATAGTACTTTGTAATCGGAAACTCACAGATTCTATCATCATCCCGCAAGTCGGATATTAAGGTGATATTTTAGTTGGTTTCTTAGTTAGTTTAATGCGTCGTTTTTTTGTAATGGTTCTGGATGATAAATTTAGAAATACGTGGAAGAAAGCTGTGTCGGCGTATAAGACAATACCAAATACTTTCCTGCAGGAAATGACGAAAACCACGAAAATGAGTACGAATAACCGATAACTCAACCGAAATACGACTGGAACTTCCTGAAACAAAAAAAAAAATGTCGATAAATCCTGTTTCTTATTCGGAAGGTCTCAGATTCGAATTTCGGCCCTAAGATCGGCTATTTTGGCTAACGGTTGTGGGTCTCCTCAGTCCCTTCAGGCAAATGACGCAATAGTGCCTTAAATCTGGCCACCAAAACTCCCTCCTCTATCCCTTCCAGTTCACCATCCTACTGTCAGAAAGAACTGACTGGAGCTATCAGGCAAATACAAGCACATAAACAAATGAGCGTTAGTTAGGCCGCAAGTTTGTTAGTCAGATAGTTACGTTGATAGGATACGAACACAAACCTTCACATTATTTTACTTTGATTTAAAATGACAGTATGCTTGATTGTAGCTATCCTTGCTTGAAGGCAACTACTGTTAAATTACGAGAAGTTACATAATACAGGACTCATTTTTATTATGTTGGCACAAATTAGCTAGACGTGGGAGCTGGCACTGAATGAAATTTGTACAAGTTTCGTAATTGGGACTCTAGCACGCCTGGAGGTAATTGGTTCCAGCTTCTTATGGTCCTATTTACAAAGGAATATTTGCCTACATCCGTTCTTTGTTTGTTTGTTTGTTTTGTTGTTTGTACAAGTTTCGTAATTGCAAAGAAAATACGAAAGCACGATCAGACCTGAAAGCTGATAATCAAATCACGAAGCAAGAGATTTCATTACCGCCCTAGAGTTCTGCGATTCCGAGCAAGCAGCAGTGGGACTCTTCGCAAGCAGAGTTGTGAGTTCCGGTTCTCTCCAAGTTCCTTTTATTTCTGATTAATTTTTATGGAACACATTGAACGTCGTGACACAGTGTATCAGGGCGATGACTGACCCATCGCTCTGACGAGAAAGACAAAATACCTCTGAAGCATCGGTTAACTTCTACCAGAATACATGGCGTAACATTACAGAAACCACCCTTCTTCCTTGCTTTTATAGTTTAGAATTTCAATGAATGTTCCGATTTCTTTTATGAGGTGAAGAGAAGAAATTAGATATTAAACTAAAGAGGTCCATACTAGAAGTTGCTGAAAGGCGTATCTCCAGTCTCATCAGCTTTCATATACACCACGGTCCCTTGACCATGTGTCGGTATTTATGGCTCTGGAGTAAGTTTTGTGCAACACCTGTGTGAATTGAACGCGGTATGGACAACGAAACTCTAGGGTCTCTGCCTGGTTCCCTTTGTCTCATTATTCACCAGTGTTGGGCTCGAGATAATCCTTCTGATACTGTACAAGTTTCGGGCCACATCCCCCCCCCCCGGAGCCACACTTCTTCCTATCAGGACACCGAGGTTTGCATTTGACGGTAAACCAATCTGTAATGAAGTCCACAGGAGGTTCATAATTTAGAAAATGATAAAAGAAAATGTTTTTAATATTTTCTTTTCCCTTCAAGGACTGTGTTGAAACATGTGACTTCGTAGACTTATTCTGAATGCTTTTCTCTTACAAGTCGCCTCTTAATTTGTTACGAGCTCCAAGGATTGAAGTCCGTATTGCCCATTCTGTCCTTCTACATGCCCCACCCATCCCATTGTTCTTCAGATGATCACACTAATAATATCTGATGAAGAGTATGTTACAAATTTTGGCGTTCTTCAGTATGTAACTTTCTACAATTTCAGATCAAAGGTTCTCAGCGTATGGCCCGTAGTCCAAATTTAATTTTTACTGAATGTTACAAGATAGAAAAAAGCTATTTGTTATCGTACTTAAAATTAAGTGCTGTATTTCACTGCGAACGTAATATATGACTCATATGTGATGAAATAAATTAAGGACGTACGAAATAAAAAGTTGTCAGTGGAGCCACGGTTCCGGAAAATTAGACGTAAATACGTCTATACGGAAAGGAAGTTTATATATTAGCTTTATTCTAAATATTTCCTTTATACATGCTTTACAATTGAGATAAGTTTGATTAAGACTTTGCTTATTCAACTTGAATTAGTTACGCTTAAGATGGGTCTGTGTTAGCTGAATGTAAGGTAAGGTAATGTAATGTTTTATAGGTAATAACAATGCTAAGTAAAGTAATAACAATTCCTAAGTAACATAACAATGAAGTTACACTTTTTCGTAACACTTTTTCGTAACATTTTTGCCGAATGACACTGACCCTAAAATATAGACGTATTTACGTCAAAATCCCTATAAAATTTATGACTGTAATAATGACAATGCCACATGGCGCATTAGACACAAATCATAAATTATTTATATGAGGAGCCGGATATAATAAAGTGGCAAAGGAGGAAGACAAAAGTGGTTGGAACACCTGTTCAAATCAGAAGACACGAATCCTTACAGAAAAACAACTTTCACAAATCCCGAATATATTACAACTAGCTGGACAACACAGAAGAAGATATACCGATTGATGCAAGGGCGAAAGACTAAAGCGCGGGACAGAAACCAACTGGGGACACAGTTGAGGAGGCCAAGGCCTGCATTAGGCTGCAGCACCAAGGAACGGGAAGGTTACAGGATACAAGGAAACAAAGCTTCGAGCTATGTCTTGGCCAACTGAACAACTGTCAACTTATCCATGGAGCTGCTTAGTCCGGAATACCATCATTATACGGAAAGCCTATATTAATTCTTCATACCGTAACAGCAACTGTGTCTGCAGGGAACTGTTTGTATCACACTCAATGAATCTTAGTTTTTCCCACAGATTAGATATTTATGGGTTTCATATTATTCTCAGAACAAATAATGATCATATCCCAATGACTTTACATTCACTGAGATATGAACTTAATATTTAAATATTAGGCATTTTAGATGAACTTCGTGCTTCAAACGGTTAAATAAACACTGCACCTGATAAAATCTACATTTGTCTGCTTCAGACCGCTGCAATGTTTATTATCAGTGGAGTGAATGTGCTTTGTTTTAAAACTGTCTGAAAACTGTTATTTAACTTACTGATCAATATGCCACTTAATGGTGTCATTCATTGTGACAGAATGACAGACATGAATAAGCATTAGCATTTACCTATAGTACACAAGTACAAATGACATTACTGAAAAGTCATTACAGGTCACACGTAGACGTAAATCAGCCGCAACTGGTGTAATGCGTTGTCACAGTTCTTCCACGTATCGGCCTCGACCAAGCGTGTCATCCTGACTCAATTATACTTTTGTTACAAGACTAGAAAGGTACATTCCAGAGCAAACATATTTTACAAATTCAGTCTGAAATTTTGTTTATGTAAATGGCGTCATGCCTCTGAAGACAGTTTTATGGTTGCAATTTTTAATTCTCCGCCGTCAGTGGTACATAACGTCGATTCTACGAACTTACGAGGTAGAAACGACAGAAGGTCTAACTAAAATAACACCTAGAAAGGAGAGACTTCAGGTTCTCACGGCGGAAAGTCTCCTGGGATACACAGACAATATATTAAGAGACCGCTGGGGAGACCTAGACGTAGATGGGAGGATAATGTCAGGCGGGATCTATGGGAGATAGGAGTTGAAGGAGACTGGATTTCGTTGGCCCAGGACAGGGTCCGGTGGAGGGCTTTGGTTAATTCGGTGATGAACCTCCCGCCTCCGTAAGCCATCTAGTTGGTTGGGTCCACTATTTGGGAAGCCTGAGGGGAAGAGACCTCTGGAGAGACCTAGACGTAGATGGGAGGATAATGTCAGGCGGGATCTATGGGAGATAGGAGTTGAAGGAGACTGGATTTCGTTGGCCCAGGACAGGGTCCGGTGGAGGGCTTTGGTTAATTCGGTGATGAACCTCCCGCCTCCGTAAGCCATCTAGTTGGTTGGGTCCACTATTTGGGAAGCCTGAGGGGAAGAGACCTCTGGAGAGACCTAGACGTAGATGGGAGGATAATGTCAGGCGGGATCTATGGGAGATAGGAGTTGAAGGAGACTGGATTTCGTTGGCCCAGGACAGGGTCCGGTGGAGGGCTTTGGTTAATTCGGTGATGAACCTCCCGCCTCCGTAAGCCATCTAGTTGGTTGGGTCCACTATTTGGGAAGCCTGAGGGGAAGAGACCTCTGGAGAGACCTAGACGTAGATGGGAGGATAATGTCAGGCGGGATCTATGGGAGATAGGAGTTGAAGGAGACTGGATTTCGTTGGCCCAGGACAGGGTCCGGTGGAGGGCTTTGGTTAATTCGGTGATGAACCTCCCGCCTCCGTAAGCCATCTAGTTGGTTGGGTCCACTATTTGGGAAGCCTGAGGGGAAGAGACCTCTGGAGAGACCTAGACGTAGATGGGAGGATAATGTCAGGCGGGATCTATGGGAGATAGGAGTTGAAGGAGACTGGATTTCGTTGGCCCAGGACAGGGTCCGGTGGAGGGCTTTGGTTAATTCGGTGATGAACCTCCCGCCTCCGTAAGCCATCTAGTTGGTTGGGTCCACTATTTGGGAAGCCTGAGGGGAAGAGACCTCTGGAGAGACCTAGACGTAGATGGGAGGATAATGTCAGGCGGGATCTATGGGAGATAGGAGTTGAAGGAGACTGGATTTCGTTGGCCCAGGACAGGGTCCGGTGGAGGGCTTTGGTTAATTCGGTGATGAACCTCCCGCCTCCGTAAGCCATCTAGTTGGTTGGGTCCACTATTTGGGAAGCCTGAGGGGAAGAGACCTCTGGAGAGACCTAGACGTAGATGGGAGGATAATGTCAGGCGGGATCTATGGGAGATAGGAGTTGAAGGAGACTGGATTTCGTTGGCCCAGGACAGGGTCCGGTGGAGGGCTTTGGTTAATTCGGTGATGAACCTCCCGCCTCCGTAAGCCATCTAGTTGGTTGGGTCCACTATTTGGGAAGCCTGAGGGGAAGAGACCTCTGGAGAGACCTAGACGTAGATGGGAGGATAATGTCAGGCGGGATCTATGGGAGATAGGAGTTGAAGGAGACTGGATTTCGTTGGCCCAGGACAGGGTCCGGTGGAGGGCCTTGGTTAACTCGGTGATGAACCTTCGGGTTCCGTAGCCATCTAGTTGGTTTA